AGTCTGAATCCTACTTGTCATCTCCTCTTGGCTATCTCCTGGGCACCATAAACTCATTCCTTCCAAAGCATCTGCACCCACCGCAAGCTCCTCTTCCTCTAATGCTCTCATCTCAATAAATGGCTCCACACCTAGCTGTTAAACATAGAAACCTATGCCTCATTCTCAAGAACTGAAAACAGCATAATATAAGGTTAAGAGGAAGATTCCAGAAGCAGACTGCCTGAGTTTGAGGCTCAGCTGTCCCATTTGTTAAGCTTTGTGTGTTATCAGACTTTTATCTCCCTGGGCCTCGGATTCCTCATCTGTAAAATGGAGATAATAGCAGTAAGATAACTTTGTAAAGCACCTCACTATGTTACTGCTTGTTGACCTTGTCTCCTGTTTTCAAATTGTACATGGATCATAATACTCCCTTCCAGGTAAGGGCATTCAGGACCATCCATTGCCCTGACCATCCAGATTCCTCACCATGACTTTCAGGACAAAGCATGCTCAGACTCAGCCCCAGCCCCAACCTGAATATCCCTGTGCTTTCATCTCTGTGGCTTTTCAAATGCTCTTCCTCCTTTCCTGAAACATTCTTTCCCCCAATCCCAAGCCCCTTCTGACCTGGACAACTCCTAGTCATTCTTCAAGTTTCTGCTTGAGTGTCACTTCCCTGGAAAGTCTGATCCCTGGACTGGTTTAGCGCCCAGCTACGAATCCCCACACTATCCTGAAAATTCTTTTGTGTGGCACATATGCTTCATTGTGACTTCTTGTAAGTGATTATTTGTCCATTTCTCCCCTTAAACTGTATTCTCTGTGAAGGAAGGCACTGAGTCTCATTCACTTCTCACCCTCACTGCTTGGAATATCCTAGGTGCTGAGCACAGGAGTGAGCAAACACATGCACCCAGAACACCCTGGGCAGAGTTTACATGGAGAAAAGAAATCACATAAAATATGAATATGGACTCTTGGAGATCTGAGGGGAAGGGTAGGCTAGAAAATTTGCCTGCTGGTATCAGAAGAGGAAAGGAATACAGACTATTTTTTTAGCATTAAACTTTGAGTCCTCAGTGATAGGCCTCATTGCAGATTCAAATAGTTTTTAAAGTAGAATGCTGTAGGTCTGTGTTTCTCAACTTTTCAAGTCCATAGTCCATTCTGATAACCCAAACAATTTCTCACTCTCACCACCTTCCCATCACATTTGTCAATTACTATGCAGGGACATCTTCTGCATATTCCCACCAGCCAAGGCTTTATTTAGCTTTAGTTAGTTATTATACTTGTGAATATGGTTTTTGAAACAATGACACCCCAAAGAGAGTCAGATATTTATTCCCACCCACATATCCTAAACTACAGAGTTTAAAATAAAAAAACTCGTACATTTCCTTGATGAAAGAGTGTGTGCCTGAACTGTGCGTATTTTTTACTTGTGAGATGCTTATTATTCTCATGCAGTTTGTTTTCCTAATAACTGAGACTTCTTCTAAACCAGGTGCAGTTACATGATAGACAATGTGATTCTACTGATGAATGGTGCACTGCAAAAAAAATCTGTGAAAGAAATTCTGGTGAAGTGCCACCCACTGGGCCGTTTCACAGAAATGGAAGCAGTCAACATTGCAGAGACACCTTCAGATCTCTTCAATGCCGTTCTGGTTGAAACACCATTAGGTATGAATGCATAAGTAATTATAAAGGTGTCTGTGTATGTAATGACAGTCATTAGAAAACATACTTTCAATTCACAGATTTTCCCATGAATACAGTATCATACTATACAGATTTCTAGAAGTGGAAGGGACATGAAAGAATCATCTAGTTTAGCTCCCTCATTTTCCAGACCAAAACAAGCAAAGTAACCTGCTCAGGGTCACATACAAAACCATTTGTAGCAGTGAAGAAGCTGGGGCTCATCATCCAACATCCAAAACCTTGCACTTTGTAGCAGGGCATAACAAATAAATGAAAGAACTTGTAATTTTTTAAAAAAATTAATTTTCTAGCTGGGTTTCATGTGGTGAGTTCCTTATCCTTT